GCGAGTCAAAACTCACCTTCGCTTATTGACGCACGGCAACTTTTTGCCTTTTCCAACGTTGCGAAACGCATCAGCGTCTGCATCTGTGCGTACGTGTGCGCCTCTGCATGCGTGTGCGAGCGTGCATCTGCGGATGCGTTGTACTTACCTACTTCCTTCTCGACCCGAGGTGACGCCGACGTCAGAACGCGTCAGAGAGCCAAGTTGTTACACAGCTCGGATCGTAATTTCTTGCGAGATCATCGGCTCGTTCATAGACGATATTGTTAAAGACGTCTTTCATGCTTAACATCATGGCATTAGATCCTTGAAAATTACAATTGGTCCATTAATATCTTCTTTATTTTCGGATTTTTTCTGTGATTTTTATTCGTCGTGAGAAATTGATTACTTCAGCGCGCGGATGTAAGATATACGTACAAGATGGGAATATGTATCGGTATATCTATCTATATTTTTGATAAAAGTCTTATATAAATTAATTAATTTATTATTATTATTGATCGTGCACTATGTAATGTATTATTCGCTGTGTCTTTATTACCAATGTATAAACTCGTATTGTATAAACTACGTTTGAATTATTTTTTTACATTAACTATTCTATTCGTAGCTTTATCGCTTATCACTCGCTGGTGCACGCGGTCCAAGATTTCGTATCACGTATAGGAGCATGTATGCATCAAGAAAGTCATCGTCGGAGACTCGTTTTGGATCGCGCAACAATGGTACCGCGAGTCGAGCGATATCGCGGGCGAGTGTATGCGTGACGTGCGTGTGCGTGTTAATCTTAACAAATCGCACATGTCGTTTCCTCATGCGCGGGTTACGCAACCCGCCGCGCGCCGTTTGTGTGTTGTACGTGCCAGCGGGCCGATATGAATAAGGCATAACGAACCTCTGACATTAAGGGGACCGCGACGATCGCGACGAAGAAAGACAACAACATCGAAGACAACGACGACGACGACGACGACGACGACGACGACGAGTGGGCAACGTAACGACCGACGTCCTACAGGACGACAAGGTGGATACGACGAGGTCTAATCATGGATCCTTTACCGACCCGCGGGCCGGCTGACCGATTACGGCCCCGAGGCGCGCCGTGTTTGACTGACGGGGATTAAATTGTCGCCCGGGGAGGAGAAAACGTTTTACGTTTTATCGCTCGCTCCGCGAACATGTTTTTTCGTCGACGAGCCCGCCCGCGCTATGCACAGTTTGCGACATTTCGCAGCGAGGAGCACGTGGTGTCACCTCATGCATTTCAACTCACGGTCGGTCGGTTTCGATTTAAATACAATCATCGCACCTCGTCACGGGGAAAAACGACCGTTGATTCAAAGACATGGGGAGATGAATCGCGAATATCATTATTGTCGAATGCATATGTTACTTTAGTAACGTTTTTATCTCCGCGCTGGCAACGTAACAAGACATTAATGTGCTTAGCGTGAAGCGAGATGCGTATTTTGGTATAATATGCCACGGTTTAGGACATACATTCGCATACGAAATATTCCGTTCTCTTAATTTACAACTCATTCGCGCCTTTCCGCGGCACCGAGCGAATCGAGGTCTGTTTCCGGTAATATTTACAAGTCGGCGCGAGACACGTGGCCGTCACGATGCGTGATGGCGAATGACAGTTACTATCTGAGCTGCGCTATCTACACACGAACGATTATCGTACTCGCTTCTATGTGAAGACTTCCGAGCTATTCGACACGCGACAACGTAAACACATTTGCGACGACGATCGGTCGAGAGCTTTTTCGCGTCGGGAAACCCGGTCGTTAAGTTGCAAGATCGATCGTAAACAAGACGATATAATCAAGGTCAATGCAGGTCCTCCACGTGACAGGAACTCTATTGGATTGAGAAAAGAAGAGAGACTAAAGAAGAAAAAGAGAGGGAGACCAGAGAAGAAAACAGGAAAGGTATAAGACTGAGGAAAAGATAAAATTAAATAATAAAAAAAAGGAAAGAAGACAGAAACGAAAAAGAGAATACGGAGTTCATCCGCTTCTTCATGAATTAATTTATTCTATTCTTTTAATTCCATAACTATAATAAGAAAAACGAAAAAGAACATTATTCAAATTATAATTAAATCTAAACATTGTGCGGCTCAATATTCATTTTTCAATTTTATCTTGTTTAAAATATCTGGTTACGCGTCATGTATTTAAAGTTATATTAAAAATTTCAAAAGAGCGGAATAATTGAGATCCATGTTGAAAACGAAGGAGAAGAGCTCTTCAATTTCTCAGAGGTTTTCAAGAACCTAAACATACATATATTACGCAAACACCGTGACGTGATGCGAAGAAATAGGCAACGCGGAAATGTCAATGTTACCTCGCGATCGAACGGGCTTCCGGTGTGTTCTCCGTCCTTCAGTCGCGTACCGGAAGTCTCGAGCGGCGTCGCGGTTGCAATTTTTTGCCGTCGCTTCCGCCGCGATTCGCGAAGCGATCGGTTCTCCTTTCTTCCGTCGCCAAAAGAATAAAAAAAACGCCTGCGGGAGAAACACGCGAACGGAACCGCAGAATCCGGTGTTTTTTCTTGCTACTCGTACCTTCCTTGCGCAATTATTGCTCCTTCCATCTCTCGGGGGCGCATTCCGATACGCTTGTTTTTAGTCGAAACTGTAGTCATCATATTTCGAAACTGCGAAACCGGTATTTTGTAACTTTATCACCTGAGGTGATTAATTATGTAAGTTCGATGACCGTCAAAGATTTTTTCATATTTATGGATCTTTCATTTCGTAATTCGGAGTGATAGCCATCGAGAAACATGCAGAAGCAAGGCAGGTCACGAGGCAGGTGCGATGCGAAGACTATCCTCAAATTCATCCCTCGACGCCGCTTCAAGTAGCCGCTTTAGTTAGCCGAGTCGCAAAAAAATCGTCGACCGAAAGGAGCACCTGAGTGTAAGGCTGCCCGCTTACCCGCGGTATTTAAAGGAGTAAAGTGGGGAGACCGAAGAGAGACGACCAGGATTTCCTGGTGCGAGACAACGGCACATCGACCTTCGCATGCCGAGGTTCCTGCCTTCTTCCCTCAGGGCAATCCTCTCTCTCTCTTTTTCTCTTCTCGAACGAGCATCGCGCCGCAATTGTGTCGCCAAGAGTTTCCTCCGGTCATTTTTCGAAATGTCACAAAGGAGACGTTTTTTTGCTAAAAATATTCCGGGAGCTATCGATTGTCAAATCTTGAACGAAAAATGAGCCAAATGCTGGCGCAGGTCAGCTACATTTCCAAAGAGATTTAAAATTAACTTCTACTTGCATTTATTTAACAATCAATTTAATAAATACAGTTAAAAAGAAATAGCAATTAGAGAAGATAAATTAAAATGAAAATGTTTTGTATCTATTCAAGCATTTCTTTTTCCTGAGGCACCGAATGGAGTTACTTATTTGTTAAAAAATATTCAGACAACAATAATTTAAATATGTAAAGCGGCATAACAGTATTGTATTACAATAGTTGTTACGTATAATTTTATGTAGCCTCGATAATATCGAACGCACGGTGACGTCAATAGGCTTTTTCCTATCATGAATCGGCTTGTTATGAGATATACATGTAGATTAAATCAGATCGTAACCGCTATTTTTTTCGTGTTACAATGTCATGAGTCAAAGTGTAAAGAGCTACTATAATATACCACAACATTAAGCGCACCGATACATTAATAATTATATCTAATCGAGACCGCCGATTATAAACATATGATTATCTGCATGCAAATAGTGTCATTACCGAGGTGAAGAAGCTACCTTGCTTGCTTTATACTACCTTTCCAATTAGCTTCTTTTTGTTTATATTCTAACGTAACGCTTAGATCGCGAGATCTTCCGCATAGCCAATGCTATTCTGGACCACAAGATGTGTATAACTCTCCTATAGTGACTGTTATAAAGACTTTATGAAGTGACTCAGTCTGAATTTTAATGACAAATTCTCTGAGGTCGATGGCTGTTTTTATTTAAAATTGCAGACACTTCTCTAGTTCCAATATATCACGAACGCTGGCGATTAAAGGCACGAGATTCTAGAAGCAATTAAGTGGAGAGATTTCGAAATGAGCGGAGACGTAACTCGCCGCTTCGGGTCCGAAACTGAGAGTCTCGATGTTGGCTATAAGGAGTTTCGCTTAGCCGGTCTCCGCGAGCCGACGTCGGGAACGGAAATAGCTTCGTCGACGTCGACGTCGATGGAAATACGTTATGTAAATCCACGTTTCCTGCCGGCTTTCATTCTTATGCCCCCACATTCTATGCTAATAGCCGATGAACGTCTGCGAACCGGTCGCCGATCAGGAAATGGAGACGCCTCGAAACGCCACCGTCGCGACGCTTCTCTTTCCTTTTCTTCTCTTTTCTTCTCTCTCTCTCTCTCTCTCCTCCCCACTCCTTCCTTACTCTTCTCATCTCTCGTGTTTCTCTTGAACCATCTTGCTCGCTCGTCCACGTAAGAGGCTGACGTGTAACTGTAATCTCTGGCGCTATTGTATCTTGTGTCGTTCTACATCGACGAGCCGATCGTTAGACGGGGTAAAGCGCTATATATCAGGGATCGATTTTCAACGGTATAGATACGGAAGATTGCACTTTACGTCACACAGTGTTGCGTCTCCATGGTCGCAAATAAATATAGAGATCACTTTCGTGCGCCTGTGTAACGTCGAAATGACGTCGACGTCGTTTCGTGTTACGCGCTCGCTAAGCAGATCGAACGATATTGTTGCATCTAGTTGATTTAATAAAGTCAATTTTTAAGGAAGAATGATACTGGAATGGCGATCCAAAATAGCCGACAGTCTAATTATTTAAATCGTGAAGATATGTTTATTTCGTACAAATGTAAAATATTTGAAAGATTAGAGAATGAAAAAAATCGAGCTACTTTATTACGAGATGACAGATCAGAATTTAAAAAAATCGGACATTTTAATAAATTTGATTAATTTTTTTCCTGTTGCAGAAACCACTGGTAGATCCGAGAGCGTGTTATGAAATTGCTGCCACCGATTCAGTTATCGCAGCTACCGCCGGTTTCCGCCGCGGGCGGAATAGCCGGAATGGAGCCTCGACTGACATCCGGAATATCCTTGCCTTTATGCCCGGACTGGGCCCTCTGGAGGGCCCAGTATGGTCCCTCGATAGGTTTCCCGCCGACGACACATCCACCACCCAGTCCTCTTTTGGATTTTAAAACTCATCTACCAACGAGCTTAGGTAAGTGTTAAAAGTGTTAAATAAGAATATTCCCTTTACAAATTCATAAGATTAAAGTTTTACTCCGTGGACCGATTTTCCAATTCCTTCTTGAGTATAAAAAAAAATTGTAAAGAATATTTCCTTTATCGCACTTTGATTGCTTTGGTTCCTTTAGATACAATTAACCCAAATTATTCGTATTAATATTATTAATACGTTATATTGAATTAATTATGAACGGATAGGCAACGTTAAACCGCATAGTGGTTACAAAGGCCACCACGAATACAGCCAATGGCATCTTCTCTCCTTTCAGTGTCCGACCCTAGATTGTGGTCGCGGGAGGACGTAGCGGCGTTCCTGCGGTGGGCTGAACGGGAATTCGACCTGCCGCCGTTCGACATGGACGTGTTCCAGATGAACGGCAAGGCTCTGTGCTTGCTGACCAAGGCCGATATGGGCGAGAGGTGTCCCAGCGCCGGCGACGTGCTGCACAACGTGCTGACCATGCTGGTGCGCGATTACAGCCAGCTGCAGAGATGCCTGCCGAGCAGTCCGGTAACACCGACCAGACCGTCCACATATCCGCTGAGTCCACACTCGCATCCGCCTACGCCAACGTGGACGGAGACGTCGCCGTACGCCTCGAATCTCGCCTCGCTAATGTCGGCTAATTCGGTAACGCTCTCGCCGGCGCCGTCTGTGGACAGTCAGTCGGGCTCACCCAGCCACGCGACCGACGCGAATCAGACGCAGGTCTACAAGAGCGACTCGGACGAGGACAACACTCACCAGGTGTCGAGCGGCAACAGCAGCCCACCACCAACGCCGACCGCTCTGACGGCACAAAGGCTCAGCGAGGTGAGCGTCAAGGATCAGTCGAGCCCGACGTTACCGCACCAGCTGATACCACTGGCTGGCGGCTTCCGGTCATCTCCCGCCACCGCGCCCAGAGAGTTCTTCCCCAACGATTCGTCAGAGCCCAACACCAGTTAGTATTTGCGACTGCTTACGATTTTTAGTTATATTGGCGAAAGGTGGTAGCTGAGAGATGCCGTAATTTTCCGAGGATTTTTTTCTACGTCTTTTGCTTTTATTGATTTATTTTTTTATTTTTTTATTGTTGATTAAATCGGACGACATGCAACAGCATGATTTTATTAAATATAAAATCTAGAAGTACCATTATTTTAATCTTCCCATGATTGTTATTGACATTGTAGCACAATTTCTGTTCTGTTTAGACGGAAGACTGCTCTGGGATTTCCTTCAGCAATTGCTGAACGATCCTGGGCAACGGTACCAGCATTACATCTCATGGAAAAGTCGGGAAACCGGTGTCTTCAAGATCGTCGATCCGCCTGGTCTGGCGCGACTCTGGGGCATCCAAAAGAATCATCTCTCTATGAATTACGACAAGATGAGCAGAGCTTTACGTTATTACTATCGTGTGAACATACTTAGAAAAGTACAAGGCGAACGACATTGTTATCAGTGAGTATTATTGCAATGAATAATTAATCTGTCATACACGAAAAAAATGCGATAGAAATATAATACGACAAGTAGATTTGTCAAATTTCAAATAACTTCAATGAAATATTAATAACAAGATCTATCTTTGCCGCTGCTATTATAATGCAAGAATAATTCTAGAAATATAAATTTCGTATTTAGAACATGTAAAAATTGTTTTCGGGCAAAAAATTCAAAAAAATTCAATGGGTTCTGTTCTTTTGCAGATTCCTGCGTAATTCAATCGAGTTGAAGAACATCAAGAACATATCATCGTTGCGCCATCAGATGCGAATAAAATCGGAACCGGAGGAGGAGAGCGTTCTTTCCGGAAGTCCCGAGGCAGAGCCGGAAGCGGACATGCCGACGGACCTCTCGATGTCCAGCATGAACCAGCCGTCAAGCGAACAGCAGCCCCTGTCGTTGCACGACCCACCTGCCAAGTACAGAAGTCACGCGTACAATCTCGTTAAGACCAATCAGGAGCCGGAAGAGAGGAAGTGACGCGGGACCTAGCGATGGTAGGAACGCAATGATCGTGCGTAATCATTAATCGCACCACGGCGAATTGGGAGCCAACGGCGAAATGACCTCGACGTAAGAAGGGTTCCACATCGGCGACCAATCGACGGATTCGCAGAATGAGATTGAAGATCGATCAAGCGAGCGTATCGACTCTGTCTGGTTCATCGGTTTGTGATGAGAAAGTGTCATTTGTACAAAAATACACGAAGATTTTTTCATGAGGAAAAAGCGGAATCCAAAAAACATAATTCGTCGACGAAGCTCATCGGGACGATGCGATGACGAAGATAAGATCTAATCTCGGAATCCAGTGTAAAGAAGTATGCCGATGGCTCGAGATTTTGCAATTGTTAATCGTAGGACATTCGAAATACAAGTTGCAGAACGAAACACGTGATGAAAGCTAGGATCTTGAGCACATTATGCCCTTCTGAGGAATAATCGTCAAAAACGAAAGAAGAGATAAGCGAGTACTCACGTTTATTCGCAAAGGCACATTGACGCTCGTAATGATTCGAGGGATTCTTTAAAGGTTAAGAAATTAAATTTTATGCCCTATGTGCCCAGCTCTGTGTCGGGGATTCAAATTTGCAATCACGCAAGAATTCTCTCCGTTTTCGTCGTTATATTGTAAGAGTGTGATAAGAAGCGCAAGAGTACTCTCCTCACAGTACAAATCGGATAACGATTTGCTCTCTCCCCTGCCCACTACCCCCTCTCACACATAGATCCGCGTTGAGTGCCAATAATGACAGACGCTTCGATGAAGCAGAATCTTCGCGGATATTCCGCCCTATCCCTATCCCCCGCTTCCTCCTCGTAACGACACAATCATCCATACCAGGCAATTTCCTTTCCATTTTTACAACGACAAGATGTGTATGAAACGTACGGTCTTAGGTGCACTTAAAAACATACATACGACGATTCAATGTACAAAGAATGCCAGAAGGAGAACTGTTACCAGGTCTTTCCTTTCTTATGCGTTTCTCATTTTCTCCTTTTTTGTTCTTAATCTTAAGTATATATTCTGTGATGTACGACTTTATTTTTTCTTTCTTTTTTTGGCGAAACGCAATCCGTGAATAAGGTCGATTCCAAAGAGAGACTCTACTTGATTTGAGACATTCAGTGTAATTGCATCACAGAAAAATTGCGTTATTAACGTTTCTATAGTTTTCCGAAGTACAAAGAGCTTGACAAAATCTTTTTTCAATTCAATAATTATGCGCATCTGTACACAAAGCCAGATCACATAATCTAAAGGAAAGATTTAATTGGATTTTCTCAGGCTCTTACTGTATATGCGCGAAACCGAAACGGTTCTCCGTTACATGTTGACGTATTTGTGCCAAGAACATTTGCCGTTTTATGTATTTAATCGACTGTTCCAAAAAAAATCGATATATTTGGAACCAATATTATATCCCTTGTGCTCGACATGTACGCGTTGTATCAAGGACGCGCCATAATCGAGAGTCGTATAATCGATTATACGTTGTAAGAACTGTATATAAACTAAACTAATGAACTGAGTTAATGAACTGTAAATGCGAACGAAAGGTAAGATGAATATTAGTAGTGCAAGAGTTTTATGGAATTTCGGGGCCAGAGTTAGAATGTATAAATTTATCTATAGAAAAAAAAATATATATATACATATATTTTACTATCAAAATTTATATTCGAAATTTCTATGTTTGTTGCCTGTGTGATTGTGGCTTACATTCCACGACTCTTTATCCGAGATTTGTCTATGTATATATATATATATATAGATAAATCACGAAAGTCCGCAAGAGAGGTAAAAGAAAAGTGAAGAAATAAGGCGCATATACAATTAGGAAACAGATTTTAACAAGATTGCTAATTGTATTTTTGCACTTGAAGATATAAAACTTGGAAATATAAAATTGATTAAGAAAACACGAGAGAATTAAAGCATGAGTGCGAGCGAGCGAATGAGTGAGTGAGAATGAATGAGACAGGTATATGACATAAAATGACATATTGAGAAATATATCTGGCTTCTTGTATACTGTGATCTCTATACTATATAATGCAGAAAGAGTTAAACATAGTTAAAATAGGAATTATTATCTAGATAAAGCGCGTGTGCATGTTTCACACACCTAGATGAAACGTCTATCTAGAAATTGCGTGATGTTATAGAGATAAAATATATACATATATCTATAAAAAGATATACATATATATATATATATATACATATGTATGTGCATGTACATATTATATGTACATACATACATATGTAATACATATATAACAGATATGTAATGTGTATCATTATAGATACATGTATATCTTTTCTCTTTACAATCGTGTAAATAATTTTCACATGGACAAGTATCAGAGGAACGGAAGTGTTTATATATAAAAATGAATAAATATATATCTATAAATATATTTATATAAATATGTGTATATAATATATAAATATATTTATACATATGTGTTATATATGTATGTAACAGCATATATGAAGACATAATAGTAGTGCAAAACAATGCATATGCGTCTAAGATTGGAGTTTATATATATATTTCGCGTGTATAAAATATGTAAAATTCTAGAAATTAGAGCTGTTTTATTATATAAGTTGTTATATGAAGAGTACATGAAATAATGAATGTTGTAAATATAGACTTATTTAGTTATTAAGAAGGTACGTATACTATTCTTTCAACTCATCCAAAATCTGCTGAAAATAAATTTATTTCAGACATTAATTCTCAATTAATGTACATTTGGTCACCAGATTTCCATAAATTTAATTACAACAAAAATTCCATTAATATTAAAATCAGAAAATTTTTTTGACGTTTGAAAATTAACAGAAATATATTTTATTACTTTTACATATCTAATTGTCCATAGTTTGCAGAATAAAGAGAAACGTCTATTTCTATTACATTAATTTTATTAGAAAAAAGACAAAATATATGTATTATTTACATGTAAAAACTTTTTACTGGAAAAATATTACATCGTCTGCTATGATAGATGTACTGGTGGATACGTTTCCGTCTGCACCTGTAACTTCATTGTAGCTTATTCTACCATTTATCATCGCTCGCTTACCCTTTTTTAGATATTTATATACAGTGTCTCTTAAATTAGGCTTAAAGACACATATCCTGTGCCAGTCTGTTCTTTGCATAAATTCACCTGAAAACAAATAAATATTTCAACATAATTATTCCTTTGGACGTAACATCATTGCGCGTTTTGAAAACCAGAGATAAATTTTGATTACATGTACCTGCTTCATATTTATAATTCGTGTGTGTTGCAAGGGAGAATATCACAACTGGATGCTCAGCGCTTCCACGTTTCTGAGGCTCAGTTCCAACTCTTCCAAGTAATGTTACATTATTTACACCTGCGAACAAAAAAAAAGAAAACAAATTTTATCTTAAAATAATACTATTTTCTATTCTGCATGCCAGTAGCGATAAGAATTGTTCAATTATAAATACGCTAACTCTTAGAATTACAAATAATTCCCTGATGCCATTGATGTGTTGTGTACCTACACTTTTCTATACTCGAGGCCTCATTCACTTCTGACGGCGTGTATCGTAGATTTTCTTCTTGAGACAAGTACCGTACATTGTTTAACCGGGCGACTTGTTTGCGCGCTTGTGAAATAACCTAAAACATGACGACATGCATGCACTTTGTGTGCTTCATTCTGAAAATGATTTCCATATTTCCATATTTGTATAGAATAATGTAATACTCACTGTGCGAAACATTGTAACAATTTCACTACGCCTTATTTCTCAGTAAAATTGCAATTTGCAATAAACGTATAACAAAACCGGTAAAGGTGTCATAACCACGGGTGCTTTGCAGATTGCTTTTGCTTCTCCAGTGAGAAATACAAATACCATGTGATTGGCTATCGAATGAAAAAATCTTTAGGGACTTTTCAAATTATCTATAGAAGTACCAAAGGTATGACTGCACTCGACAGAAATGGAGACGCCTTTTTGATGAGTTTTGGATCGCAATAAAGTAACCGTGCAACATGCAAATGGGTGTTGCACGTGTTTTATATATCATTTCTGAAATTCATAAGGTCTTAATTTTAATCGCAGATCTGTCTTGTTTCAAATAAAAGGCAGATTGGTATATTTAAAAGACCAATATATTTTAGTCATAAAAGGTCAATTTTTTATCGTCCAATAACTTGACTTTTTAATAGCCAAAGAAATGTTGCCATATAAATTATAGATTTTAGCAATTTTGCACAATTTGCAATACATTTATTTATCATTAATTACACAATCTCCATTTATTGTGATTTTTTTGTCTTATCAAGGTAACACAGAGAAAATAGCATTACATGCTATATTTAACAAAACCAGAAATAAGTCATAATGTATTCACAATCATATGTATATAAAAATTAATATTTTGTAACATATTTTGAGTATTAACAATTGCTCGGTATTCTCATTAGCCTTGTCTCAATTCTGGTTTTGTTTTAAATTTAAGAGTTCTGTATTTTCATATTCACATTGTTTTATTTATGTAACAATTAGTTTGATTTTTAATATCCATCCAATGCATCTGCTGAATCAATTAATACAATATAAAATTAATACAATTTGAAATTCAACAGATATGTTGGATGAAGATATAAAATTGTAGAAATTCTTACTCTATTTCCGAAAATGAACAAGCGTGCGATAGAAAGTACATTTCTTTCCTTTCTAATCATGCGGAATTAAGTGGAGACACGACATTTCTTTTTATTCGCTCTATTCCATAATTACTCAGAAACACAAATAATGTTTTAAATTAGACATGAAAGTTTGCGCTGATTTCTGCACTATTAGTCGTCTTCGTCGCGAACGCCTCCCGATGGAACTTTCGGACCGCCCGCCCGTTTTGCCATGATGATTTGGTCCACTTTGAGAACGGTACACGCCGCACCGACCGCGTACTTGAGCGCCCATTGCTTTGTTAGATACAGATCCAAGATACCCCCCTCGATGGTATCGACCAAAGATGCGCTTTCACTCTGTAAAAAAAAAAATATATATATATAAGAGTGATTTATTTTAATCTTAATTAACAAGCAAATATTCCAAAGTCTGTATATATATAAAATTACTAGAGTGATCATCATCCGCAGAGATGCCATAATTTGAAAAAAAAGAAAGATTCAGAGATAGAAGATGAACATACATCGATGTCAAAACCGTAGTTCTTCTTTCCTTCTTTGTGCGCCGCGTACAGCTTCGACACAAGCTCGGACGAGCGTGCACCACTGCTCTCGGCCAGGGTTTTCGGGAAGATCTCTAAGGCAGTGGCGAATTTGCGCGCGGCGTACTGCTCGAGACCGGGTAGCGTGTCCGCATACGCCGCCAGCTGCGCGGCGAGCTCGATCTCCGTGGCGCCCGCACCCGGGACAAATCTACCGTCTCTCGTGATGCCCTTGAAAGTGTTGACACCGTCATCAATCGCGCGCTCGATATCGTCCATATAATTTTCGGTCGAACCGCGCACAAGCACGGTACTGACGCGGCTCTCCTTTCCCTCCAGTTTGAAGACCACCACTATAGTGTCTCCCAACTCGTCTATGTATACCGAGTCGGCGTATCCCAGCTCTTCTTTCGACGGAGGCACCTTAAAAAAAAATCGATGATTATTGTAATAGCTTATTCTAATCGTATATATATCTGATGAAGATGCAGAACGCTAAAAAGCGTTCAACAAGATTCGATTAAGGCAAATAAATTTACCAGCTTGGAGAGCGCAGTTGCACCGACGGTTTTGCAAAGTCGCCTGATGTCGAACTTGCTCGGGATACGAACGGCCATCAGATTGTATTTGTTCATGTAATGCAAGGCCATATTGCCGAATTTTCCACCGGACACCACTACCTCGGCGCCGCTGTCGACGATCGCCTTGATTTGGTTTTCCAGCAGCGCTTCCTCGCCGCGCGAGAATTTCAACAGCTCATCGGCCGATTTAATCAGCACGGTGCCCTTCGTCTCGGTCTGAATGATGTCGACGGCGCAAGTGTAAACCGCGATCTTCGCGAGGGTTTTCCTCGTGACGTCTCCCTCCACGTGACGCTTGAATACCATGCCCTGCATCACTTGGGAGTTACTCAGGCCGCCGCCGAGTATCTTGCAAACACGCACATTGTCAACGTTGAACGTCGTCTTCTCCGGCAGAATGGAGATACAAGCCTTGGTGACGAGGGAAGCAAGGATATCCTCGTTTCCATACTGCTTGCTCATGACAGTGCTCCTGATTCCCTTCTTTACTTGGTCCTCGTCTCGTACGTCTTTCACTTCGTGAACGATCAGAGTCGGTAAGATTTCGAGTGCTTTGTTCAAAACGTTCTCGTAACCTTCAACGATCTCTGAAGTTGTAATGCCCTGTAATGAAAAAATTAAGATATGAAAATTATTTCTATTAATTACACATATAAATCATATCCAGAAAAATATTTTATATTTCAAATGAAAATGTAATTACTTTACCAATACACTGATGTGATTAAACTATATGAATCAACATACCAGACGAAGCAACTCTTCCGCCGCATGAAGCAATTCTCCAGCAAAGATGATAACAAAGTTTGTTCCGTCTCCTGCCTCGGCTTCCTGCATTTTTGACGCCAGGACCAACAACTTGGCAGCCGGATGCTCCACTTCCAACTCATTGACAATCGTCACCGCGTCATTAGTTACGAACAGCTTCTCAATGTGATTAATGACCATTTTATTCATGCCATTAGGACCGTATGCGCTCCTTACAGTATCCGCAAATTGTTTGCAGGCCGTAATGTTCCTGTAGACTGCTTCTTCGAGGCCCGAAAAATACTTAAAAATTGCAAAATAACAAACTCATTGAAATCTCGAGCGGCCAAGTCTGATTCAGCGAGCAAAACATCAAATTTTTTCATCCTGATACATACATGCTACTTGCTACACATATAAAAAAAAGATCTTGACGTCACGCAAATATAACCTATTCTTAATATTTTATTCAAGTTCAATTATCTAAGAAGAATAACAGTGTAAAAAATAAAGTTCTTCGTTTAATAATTTAAAATATGCACATAATACTTGTACAAATTTTCAAAAGCCTTGACAATACATACACTCATACACATGCAAAAGTGATCAATTCTTAATTTTTTATTCAAGTTTGATTTTCTGAAAACAACGCGTGACGTTCCAAACGTTTAACGAGAGCCGCCCTTTGCTCATATCGCCGTTTGTCGGTTTACGCTCCGAATTCCTAAAATATCCATAAAAGGCAAGAACGCGAGTCGATCCCTTCCTCGCGTATCCTTTTCGAGAACGAGCATTGTGGACGGAACCGCGCGCCGGTTCGTCGCGTGCACGCGATAATCATAAGACAAGATTGCCACTTACGCGGGCCCCATCCTTGAGCATCTGCGCCACGCCAGGCGCCTTCGGTACATGCATAGCCATTTTCGAAAACTTCAAAAAATCGTCTCTTCACAACTTGTGCAACTTGTCGTGTGACTCCCGTGACTCTCCTCTCGTTTAGCTCCAAAAAGGACCAGGGTGGCGGTGGACAATCTCCCATGTGTCACGAACGGAATAATTGAAAAAAGCGCCTCTAGTAGACGTTGAGTCAACTAAATCGATATGCACATTCGAGAAGCTCAATTACTGCATGTCTATACATATTTGCTCTCATCGTCCATTTTTCGTAAATTTATTCTAAAATTTATTTGTGTAAAAAATTTTGTAATAAAAAATTAAGTAACACATTTAATTAAGATAATTAAAAAATTAGAGCAAACGTTCATTACTTGCACTGATATACATATAGTTTATATATATATGTATACATATACATATTTTGTATATATAATAGAATCAAACAATATACATATGTGACACGGAACAAAGTCGAAGTCTGTATTACTCGTCGGAAATATTCGTAATCTGAGAGTGGACATGATTTTAAAATGCGCTATTTTCCGAGAATATAACCCCAGTTGTCTCGAAAAGTGGATGTAGCCCGGACCACAAATTGTATACCCTCAGTGCAGAAAAGTGAATGTTTTTATGTAGTTTACATCTACTTCTTCAGGGGGCATTAGTGCATTTTGAGGTACAGGCGAAAGCCGACAATGCCGACATGCCTCTCTTAGGTTAGTTGAGGTTAGTCATGTTTCGCTCCACAGAATGAACCGCTATAACCTCTTTCAGATTTCTCGGTTTCTCTCTGGTACTATCATTTCATTTGTCTCGCGTGCTCTCTGACCTCCGATTATTATCACACATGATTTATCATATATCTCTGCATTGATATCAATATTCGATTTATGGTACATATCTTTTAAGTCAAATTCCAAAGAGACTCTCTAGGTACTGAATGAAATACATTGTTCCGTTATTTGCAACGCGACGCTGATGAGTCCTTTGATTTTGTACGTAACACGTACGTCGATGTTTTAGAAATTTAGAAGAAACTGTTGTTCGAGAGGAAGGTAGCGAAAGTACACCGGAGCCGCGGGGCACGATGACGAACACAGGAGGTAAAGTAGTCGCGAATCTGCGGCAAAAGTTCGCGTCGCCGAACGTGTTGCGATGGTTCCCCGGGCATATGACGAAGGGTCTGCGGCAGATGCAGCAGCGACTGAAAAATATCGATTGCATCGTGGAGGTCCACGACGCCCGGGTGCCGATCTCCGGACGTTACGCGGACTTCAGTAGGACTCTGACCGGCTTGAAGCCGCACATATTTATACTGAGTAAAAAAGATCTGGCCGACACGAGTCATAGGAAGAGTATAGTCTCTACGTTGAACAGAGAGGGGCTGTCCAACGTGATTTTTGCCAACTTGAAAGATAAATACTGCAAGGGCACGAAGCAGATCTTACCCCTGGCCAAGAAGTTGATATTAAATTCGCAACGTTACAATAGAACGGAGGAGGAATCGTATTCCATGATGGTCATTGGTGTGCCCAATGTTGGAAAGTCCTCCCTTATCAATTGCTTGAGAAACAGTAACCTTCATCTCTCGGGTAAAGCCACCCCCGTTGGCGCGACGGCTGGTATCACGCGATCCGTATTGACCCGTATCAAAATATCGGAGAATCCAGTAATGTATCTGATTGATACCCCAGGTATTCTAGCTCCTTCCATCAAGGACGTCGATGCTGGCTTCAAGCTGGCCTTAGTGGGATGTCTGCAGGATCATGTGGTAGGATCGCATCTGCTTGCGGATTACCTGCTATTTTGGCTGAATAGAAACGGCCGATTTGAATACGTAGAGAAATTAGGTTTGCCAGAACCGAACGACAATGTGTTGCACATACTCACGTTTATCGCTGCAAAATTGGGAAAAACCGTGAGAATAAAGAGCTACAGCGGTCAATTAGAAATTAAGCCGGATTTAAAGTTTGCAGCGGACCATTTTGTTAGTCTATTTAGGAAGGGAGACTTAGGATGCTATTGTTTAGATATAGATTTACTAGACACCTCACAAAACCTCGAAGTTAGTTTAGGCTAATGATAATTATATATGTAAATATATCTGTATATATTTATTTATGGAGGAAGTTCTTAATCGAAAGAAAATACATATCTTTATAATTTTATATATCTTGAATGATTTCAAATATGGGGAAAAACAACCTTAAGAAAATTACCTTTCCACTACATTTTGTCTTCGTGTAAAATCGAATAACTTTTGATTATTGTCAAAATTGAATTTTACTCTAAATACCTTGCAGCGTATGTTTCGGAAGAATATAAATCTGTTTTTTCATACAGAATACCTCTTTAAAAGTATATGGAAACGTAAATTGCTAGCCACAGAAGCATATTGCATTAGTCACTGTCCCCACCAGTCTTGTTACGTTCTTGAACCGCGGAAGTAGGTCAGTCGAGCCACGCGTACTTTCTTCTGGAAAATGCCTCATTCGTTGTGCTGCTTTTGAGATCTACGCGCGAACTATATGTACTGCTCTGTATCAATGCGACACAATTGGGAAATTAAATGGGATTATTGGTTACTCGACATATTTAAAAGATCGGATTTACCGTTATGTTGACCGAGAATCTCGTGATTAAAATACCAGTCTTTTTTACGTTTTCCAAACTTTCGAAGGCAATTGAATCGCCACTTGAGCTAACGTTTCTCTTGAAATTAATTTTTAGCGAAAATGTTCGCGAGAGTAACGTTTTACCCAACCCTATTTTATAACGTCGTTATGGAAAGGATCACCACTCGGAACTGGTACGATAGGATAGACGAGACTGTTATACTGGGCGCATTACCGTTTCGGCGAACAACCAAACAGGTATAACTATAAATTTTTATGACAAAAATTATTAAAGATATACTTCAAATTGGAGCAAGACGCTATAATAAATTTTACATTATTTCAATATTTTACATTTGTGTCTTCACAGCTTTTTATTTTATCTTCTCATTTTATCTTTATCGTTAATTTTTTAATAACGTCACACAAAAGATATTATAATTTGTGTTTTAATTTATAATATATACGTCTTTTTTAAGATAATAATGTATTAAAAATGTTTCAAGAAATGTATCAATCATTTAAACAAATAAATTTCATATGACAGCCACTAAATTATAAATTCAAGTTCAGACGTCATTACACCTGACATTTTACACTTGCGTTTTTTTCCTTCCTTTCAGTTGATCGACGATGAAAACATCAAGGCTGTCGTGTCTATGAATGAAGATTACGAGTTGTCTTTATTGTCTAACACAGAGAAGGTGCGCGGCAGTAAAACTTAAGTTTTGAGAATAAACTAATATGGTGACAGCTAGTGCAAATTAGACTTACACATAGCTCAGGAGTAATAATACTCTTTTTTTTTCTATTCAGGAATGGCGCAAGCACAATGTCGAATTTCTGCAGTTGTCTACAACGGACATCTTTCAAGCACCGTCTCAGGAAAAGCTACAGGACGGTGTTAACTTCATTAATAAATTCCGCAATGTATCGAGCAGAAAATTAGGCAACACAGGTACCGTCGATGGTCACAACGAACCTGGCACGGTCTACGTTCATTGTAAAGCGGGAAGAACAAGAAGCGCAACGTTGGTTGCATGCTACTTAATAACAGTGAGTTCGTGTGGCATAAATTTCAATGTAAAACTAAGAGATTTTAGTCATATTTACGCGATGGAATATTCTTCCCGGTTTTTTTTTTAAATTATAGAAAAACCATTGGACACCTGAGGAAGCGGTCGATTACATGCGAACGAAAAGACCACATATATTGCTCCATACAGCACAATGGTCCGCACTAAAGGAATTTTACACGAGACATGTACAATCTACATCCTAGCTCAAATTTTTATATATTTTTGTTATTTATACGAATGAAAAATATATAAACATAAACAAAGACGCTGATTTATTTAGATTAGATACTACGCCAAATTATGTACGGCAATTCGAGTGGAAAAAGAGTGAAGAGATAAAAAGATAAAATACAATACAAAATAAATTACTAATTCTTATTAGTGAGCTCAACTTTCTTTACATGTGTAGATGCAAATTTGGTAGCTTCTGTAATTGCTTTTTCCATACGTATGTGAAAATCCTGTGATACTTTTGTAGATTTCATACTTGCGACTAACATGGGTTTGAATCCCTTAATAGGTCCATATTCTGCATTAAAAATTTGAAGGACGACATTCATCCAAGTATGTGCATTAAACGCACTAGAGACAGTTTCCTATATACAATATATGTAAGCTTTTATTTAAATTGTTTACGTTTTAATATAGGTTGGATTATTATATATTATGTATTATTATATTGAAATCTATATTTTATAAGTATATGAATCATAAAATGTACCTGTGGCACAGAACATCTTGCCTTTATAAATCCATTCGTATAAGACAGAACTAATATTGGCATCCCAGAAAAGAGAGATACAACCTCATGTAATGACAAGTATGTGGGATTCTTGTTTAGGCAATATACGATAAAACAAGATGATGAATCCGTAGCATTAGTAATTTCACAAGTTATAGAATTCCTATAAAAGATCATTACTAAAAATTATTCAGAATTAGATTATTCATATATGATATGCATACATTACATACTTTTCGATTTCTTTCTCTCGCAGCCATACCGTCTTGTTCAAATTTTCCAGGTGTGTCAAACACTTCTCTTTAATTAAGTACGGTAATGGTACGTGCTGATCATTAACTTCTTGCTTTATTCGATTTATTTCTGCATTAAATAACTCATATGTGAACTTGTCACTTTGTAAGGTGTCTTCTAAGTCCGCGATCCTCTGATATATTCTTTCACCGGCTTGTTTCATACGTAAAGCACCCGGGCCAACGGTAGCTTTAACGGTGCGTTTCGTTGCTCCCTTTGAGGTATACGTTAAAAAGCAAAAGTGTTGCAGCACATCCGTATTATGAACATGCGTACCGCAACACGTTTCCCTGAAAACATACACAATTTATATTAACGTCTAGCTCGGAGAATCGTTGACATTCAAAATTTGGACTCACTTCGCTTTTAAATCGTCCGTATCAATTTCTACAATTTTAATGCCGGTGTAAGGATATATCTCTCCTGGGACTAACGTGACATCACTTTGCTTTAACAGCTCAAGTGAATTCACAATTTGCACGGTCGTTGTGACACGAGACCGTATAATATTGTTAATGCAATCCTCTATCGTCTTCATTTGCTCTAGTGTAAGTTGTTCGCCAAACGAATTAAATTGAAGTTTTAAACTATCCGTATCGACTGTACATCCACGTTGATAAATCACTTGCATAACTTTCTTCAAGGCTGCATTTAATAAATGTGCTGCTGTATGATGTTTCATCGCTCCAGTACGAATATCTGGTTCTATACTGACTAGACAGTCGTCCCCTATTTGTAAAAACAGCTCTGATACGCTGAAAACAAATTTGTGTATCGATTAGTAATATTTCGTAATCAAAGAAGAATATAATTAAAAGTTTTATAATTTTCTAAATATAAAAATGTATGAGATATTTACGGTAAATCGTTTTTTGCGAAATGTCCAGAATGAATCACATAGCCGTTTACTTTTCTGACATTGTCCACATTAAAAAGTAGATTCTTGATACGAATATTTCCTTTATCTGAAACTTGTCCACCTTCTAACGAATAACATATAGTCTTGTCCAATATAATTCCAATCTCATCAGTAGCGTTTAATATCTCGTCGATTTTTACAGTTATTTTATTGTCCGTATCAGTTTTTGTAATATTGGAATAATTTTTACTTGCAACTAATTCTCCTGCGATATATGGGAGATATGCAAATTTTAGAGTTGCATCGGTAGAGTTTAATCGGAATATGACAAAAATATATACTTGGTTTACATTAGTATGATTTTACCATTGATAATAATGCCAATGAGTTTACTGTTGAGTGCTGGAAATTCATAGGTATTTCCGTTGTATGTATAATTGTACTTGAATGAATCATCCGTCCTAGGCACATGATTTTCTTTAAGCATCCCCAAAGACTCTTTAGTAATTACAGTACTATGTTTATCCAATCCAATTCTTGATTGATATCTACGATTATCAAGCTGCTTTTCAAAATCAATTTCATCAAAGTATAAAGATTCGATTTGTGCTAGTTCCGCTATAGTTTCCGAATGAAGGCCATATGTATCGTACAGCTTAAATGCGACAGTTCCAGGTAACACATTAGTTTTACGTCTGTAAATGATATCATGAATCGTTATACGTATATCAGTATGTCATGTAAAAAGATAAAATTAAAAGAAAGATCTTACAATTCTTTTAACATGGATTGTAGATCTTTATAGCCATCAACTAGACCAGGAGCCATCCAATCAGTGACAGCTGATAATTCGGGACGAGTTTCAATCATCTTACTCCACATTTTGCCAGAAGTATTCCGTAATCTCTTTAATAGATCTTCCTCAAAATCTATTATTCTTCGTACCTGACAAAAATTACATCTTGAACTTAATAATTTTATTTCGATACGTATATCTTAATAATTCTAATCTTAATTATTTTACCTGCTTCAAATTGGTGTGTAATTCTGGATAAGCCGTGCCCAAGTTGTCAGCTACATTGCAGACAAGTTCTGAAACTATGCCAGGTTTTCTGAAGACTTTCTCCCCTATGTCTATCGCATTTCGCAATACTCTTCGCAGTTTTGGGCTGAAATTATACATATACTATATATTATATATTATATTTATCGATTATGTATATATTAGATTATAGTAAAAATCATACTGTTGCTCAGGTAACATATTATCAGCCAAGGCAACAGTAATCATTCTTGCGTGATCAGCTAGAATTCTGTAGCCATAGTCAATTTTGCCTGTATCATCATCACCAAACGTTCCCTTATATTCTGGCGCGTTCGAGCGCTTTCGTATCGCATCGAATAACGGCTGGAAGAGGTCTGTATCGTAATTTGATTGTTTCCCTTGCAATAAGGTAACTAATCGTTCAAGTCCCATGCCTGTATCAACATGATGATTTGGTAAAGGTACTATACACCCATTTGCAAGCCTAACATAAAATATTATGATATTGAATAGACTGTGCAATTTAATAGTAACTGATTAATAAGATTAAGAACTGATTAAATATCTTTGTATGACGTTATATATACAAAAGAAAATTTCAAGAACCATCCAAATTTGATACATAAAGATATAAAAGAGATTTTTTTATGTTATCAAAAACATGCTCCGTAATATGATTTAGAGAATTTAAGATATTTATATTTAATAAGCCCAATAAAAAGTAGACAGCTCACCTTTCGTATTGTATAAAAACTATATTCCACAACTCCATAAGATCAGCATATCCCTTATTCACTCGTTCGGCGTGATTATTCGGCCGTTTCATGTAGTCAACGTGTATCTCAGTGCAAGGTCCGCAAGGGCCTGATACCCCCATTTCCCAGAAATTGTCTCGCATACCAAAAGGTAGAATTTTACATTCTGGAAGACCGAGCCTCAACCAAATATCCTTGCACTCCAGATCCGGACTCATGCCTAATTCCTCGTTACCACCAAAATATGTTGCATACAAGCGTTCTTTGGGTATGCCGTATACGTTCGTTAACAGATTCCAGGCGTAGGAGCAAGCATCCTCCTGCAAAGCAGTTAGATTGAATAAGTATCAAGTGCGGACAAGTGAATGTTGCACGTTGCAGCTTTTTGTGTCGTACTTTAAAGTAATCTCCAAAGGACCAGTTGCCAAGCATTTCGAAGAAGGTATGGTGATAGCCGTCATTGCCAACGACACTCAGATCGTTGTGCTTCCCACCGACTCTGATACACTTCTGTGAGTTCGCGACCTTCGTCACGGGAGATCCGTAATAATCTAAGAAAATCCCTTTAAACTGTAAAAGCGAAAGCAAAGGCATCAGCGGGCTTGCCATTGAGGGCAAACTTCTCCGAGAGGCTCGAGAAGCGTACCTGATTCATGCCGGCGTTGATAAACGCCAGGGACTGATCGTTGACCGGACAGACGGGACTGGAGCGAATAAAACTGTGCTTTAAATCATTCGTGAAATAATCTAGGAATTCGCTCCTGATCAGGTTAGCCGGTTTACCGTTCGCCAACTGGCTGTACGGGCGAATTAACTTGAGGGAGATCATCCTCCTCGTTGCAGGATTCGTCGTCGCCCGTAAATAATGCATTAATACGAAACGAGTCAGCTCTCGCGAAGCGACGTGGAGGACCACCACGTGCGTGCACTAGGCGTCATCGCGTCACGTAGCCGAACACGGTGGAACACGGTTAGGACGGCACACTCACTCGCGTAATAATGTAAACACTAAACAGCTGCACGCAGCTGACGCAGCACTGCACTTAGCACGTGCGCGTAATCCACTCAAAACGACCCCTCATAACCCTCATTATTACGACAACAAACGAGGTTTGATCAATTTCCGAAACTGTAGATCTGCTATCGATGAGAGAATCCGATAGGAAAGTGTTTGAAAAAAAAATCTTTACTTTGAAAGTCGCGCCAAGTTTCGCGTTTACTTCTTTTCGGTTCGTGCGCTCCTAATATTCAGAAACTCCAAAAGACGCTGATGAATCTGACTTGCAAATTTCTTCGCGGATGGCCTTTAATATTTGAATTGCAGATTCTCCTTCTGACTGAAAATACCATAGACATATTCCGATGATTGTAATGAATATTTATTCGTCGAAATGAGGAAAATATTGCGATATTTTTAAATGTAATGCCTTTCCCTGTTAGCTCACGAATGCTCATATTGTTATTAAAAAAAAAAACTCGAAAAAAATTCCTCTTTATTCTTAAATAAAATTTTATTACGAAATACATGTTATATATACACAGCGGTTTCTACATAACATTAATACACGATATCGATTACGTTTGCGTAACTTTAAAAGTTTAAAAGATACACTTTTAGTATATATAGTACATAATAGAACACAATAATTTACCACTGATATATTGTACATGAAGCATTATACATTTAAATTACATGGAACTTTCTCTAAAAATGTGTTCTTTCTATACATCCTTAATGCGCACATTGTTCTAATGTGCGCCAGTCTTTATACAAGTTGCGTCGTATTATTCTAAGCTTTCTATCTTTAACAAAATTAATTTATAATCGAGAAATTAAAATTAATACAGTCGACCTGTTGCTTTCGATTTTTCGTTTGACAACCGTGTCCGTGTTCTCTCCCAGGTAAACGTGACTGGTATTTTGACGAAGGACAGAAAGAAAGACGCGAGGATATCTGCAGAGAACGTGTACGAGGAACGTAAAAGAAATCTGTCGTACCTCTATCTCTGTCACTTGGAAGAAGCTAAAAAAATGGATGAAAGTCTGCTTGAGAGAGCCTCCATCGACTAAGCTGGAGGAGAATCTTCGCAATAGAGTGTATACCTGATCCTATACATATACACTACATCTATACAGTACATCGCGAATCTCGAATTTAATCCTCGATTTCTAGAAGATCGCCACCCATGGCTTTCCAAAAGGCGGTGACTACTTGCTCTGCCACTAGGCGCCTCTCGTTCGTCGGTAAGGACGCCGCGTGTTCCTTCATGGCCATCAATTGGCCGTACAACTCTCCAAAATCCGCGTTCTCGTCGCCCATGATGCCGTCTGTAAATTTAAAAAATTTCCAATGAAATAAACGCTGGCACTCAATGGGTTAATTTTCGCTCATTTCATGAGCCATACCAAGCATGTCCTGCATGCGTAGCGCCTCCGAAGGGTCACGCGTCAGTCGAATATTTTCAAATTGCTCCTCAATTTCGTTTACCTCTGGTGCTTGCCCCATACTCGATTTGTCTGTAACAAAAATAATTCGTGTACACATGAAAAGAGTTAAATGCTTGGATTGTTCTATTCTGATGGGAGAAATTTGACCTGTTACCTTTAAGCACGATATTGGGCCACATGTGAGCATGAAGAGCTTCTACAATCCTCTCGATGCCATATTTGTTACCCTCCGTATCACATTCCAAATCTCCCGTTTGCTCCAACTCGACCAGCTCAAACTTGTTGTGCAAACACCAATTTACCACTGAAACAAGAGAGATATCGACTCGATGTACGATACGGGAATAAGCATTATACTTGTGCATTAAACGTCAACGTTCTCCCTATCGCTGCCATACCTTTATCTCGCAAAGGCGACTCGGATATTGCACTGCAAGAGAACAACAGTACCTCTGCCGCCGTCAATGAAGTGGCCAAGGACGCCAATTGCTCCAGTTCCTGATCCACCTTGTCCTGTGGAAATCAATGTTAATGTCAATGCAAGTCAATCTAGGCTAAATTCCCACTGATTACACTGTATGTTTAATTTCGTGACCTATACCCTATATTCGACCTAAATTTCACCTAAACACGACAGATAAACTGGTTTACACAGTCATGACTGTCGTGTTTAGGATGAATATAGAGTGTATATCGCGGACTGCACATGACGGTGTAAACATAGCCATATGTCTCTTACTGCCTGCGGATCGTGATACACGATCAACGCGTCGACTCCGTCCGCCGGGAGTTTGTGGGATAAGCTCTCTACGGCGCGTACCATGACCTGTGATGTATAATACTTGTTGTCAATGTTCCACAGATAATCCACAATCTCGTCTTCCTCGGACAGACGTTCCGCCCCCATGCCTGCATTAGGAATATACACATGTGAAAAAAAATGACATAGGACAGTATAGCTATTTATGAAGAATTATGAGATTTACTCACTCTCTGCGATTTCCTTCGCCTTTCCCTCTTTTGTGCTAACAATCAGCACTCGAGGTAGATTCATTGTAAAATAATGTAGAAGAGGTGCTGAAGAATAATCGATAATATCCAATTGAACTGCGATTAATAGACGTGAATAACAATCTCTCAACAGCAGATTAGAGGTTAGGTTAGATCATAAAACAGGGTGCAACGCGATACATATGCCAAGTAGGCCTGTCACGTCTCTGCATCGAACTATCGTCACGCTAAAATAAATAATAATTACGTTTATAATACAAATTAATATTATTAATTATAATTTAAGACATTACGTTATTTTTTAATTATATTATTTAAATAATTGCAATTATTAGTGCATAATTATAATTAAAATAAAATAATGTTAATTATTTAAATAATGTATATATAGCTAACTGTTAACTTCAACTAATTATTACTAGTTATTACTTGTATATATATAAACTTTAAGTTTGATTCCAGTTTAGGATCGCCTTAATTTAATTTAATCCCGTAATAACAATTTTCTAAGTAGGGTTCGAATCTCCGCTAAAATGTGGTTCAAGTCTCTGCTAAGTTGGGTTCGAATCTCCGCTAAGTGAGGTTCGAATCTTCGCTAAGTGAGGTTTGAATCTCCGCTAAGTGACCGGGTTCGAATGCGCGCGCGCACTATACTGCTACAAGTGCGGGAGCATAAATTCAATAAATTTTATTAATTTAATAATAAAATAAAATAAAATAATTTTATTTATTTAATTTTATTTTCGTCTTTTGCACATCTTTTCGGCTTGTCAAAGAGATAACTTAAAAAAGACAACTTTTCATCATCTTTTAGTTTTTTGCGCTGTCTGGGTTTGTACCGATCTAAAAGAGATTCTGTTAGCCGCGATACGATTGACGCTTCTAAAGATAACATTATCCGAGACGCGATATGTTGCATAATTACTGGAAAGATTGATATGAAATATCTTCTTCAAAGAAATGCGGCGGAAATAGCTGACATATCCTCGTTATAAAATTCTTTTAAAGTGCACATGAGATAGAGAATCAAATATAAAAATTTAGCAATATAAGCGGAAATCGTATATATACTTTTTATTGAAAGTTCGTTCATTTATGCAATAACGCGCATCAGATAAATAATTAAAATAATTTATAGCAAAAAGCGACGGTGAAGGTTCAATTGTGTATCACACAATGAAAATTTACTGAAATATTTATAATTTCATTTCACAACACCTAGTGAATTTCTTCACTTTCGTAATTTTTACCAAGTTGTGTGATACACAATCAAATTTCTGGTATTTCGATTTCATTAATTGTATCCATTAATTAATTATCATTCACATATTTTGAAGAGCAGTTCTTCGACATACCTTAGAAATCTGAAATAGAAATTATCATACAATATATTCTTTCGTATAAATAGACGTTTAAAAGAAAAGGAAAATGAAAATTTAATTACGATTTAACAGAATTTGAAAATTATAAATTCTTGTTGAAGAAAAAAAGTGTTTATAAACTATCACATAACTTATTTAAATTGAAATCAACAGGACGAGAAAGAGATGTCTCCGACCTTCGACTCTATCAATTCGATATGGTTACACTATAGTCTTTCCGTTCAAGTAGTAACATATAAAAGAGTAAATCGCTGACAAATAATTTCGCATTGTGATAGAAAACATCGCGAAACATTTACTGTACATTTACATCATTAATATTTATATCGGCCGACAAATTATTCGACATGAGGCGACTCATTATTCTGTACGTAACTTAAGTAAACACTTTTTAAGCATTTAAGCACTATTCTGTTTGATATTAATAATAATTGCATTATAATTATTATTAATTCAATAATTTTAAATTAATTATTAATTATTTATTCATTACTTATTAATATACATTATATTGAATTATATATATGTTTTAAAATATCTTGAGTACCTATAATATGCGTCCGAAATTTTGCTTCTGCATATTTCTGTTTTCTTAATCTAAATTAAAAGTCAATAAATTATTCATTACGCATCATAAATTATTTATTGTTCCTGCCAGTAGGTGATGACCGTTGTCTACCTCAATATTAGGCGAACAGACAAGCAGAAAGTAGATCGATTAATCTCAAATCTGGGCGCAAAAGTTGAATTGGATTTCGATAGCGATAACCTCTTGTCGATATATGCACTTCTAATAATATTGGCGATTTTTCGAACATTGAAAGACACCTTTCTACCCTCATCTAATTCATTATTCAATTGCTTTGGAAAGAATTAAAGGCCAAACTATACGTAGACATGTTTTAATAACACAGTTCGAAATTAAGTATAATTGGAAAATAATTACAAAATACATTTGTGTATATACCCATGTGTCTTTTGATGTTCCATATTATGTGTGTGTGCTTTAAGGGATGAATTTAGAATCTTATAAATAGTAACCGCTTCTATCGCGCAAATAGGGATATCTTAAAGCATAATTCAAAATGTAAATATGTATTGCAATAATCGTAATATATGTGTACTATATTTTAATATTACTATAATGTATATTATAATAAATATTATATATTATATTATATATATATATATGTATATACATTAATCGTTATATTTTTGGATCTTTGCAGCGCCTTTGTCGGCACGTTTCTAACGAGAGATGTTGCGCCGTCGAAAGTTCATCATGAATATTCTTCGAATCTAGCATGGTTGTTCGGTTCAAAAAAATTAAGTGACAATACAGAAGGAGAGAGAACTGTATGCGAATCCGAGGAGTGCAAGAAAATGGGTATTTGCATTTTATTTTTAAGCATTGCAATTAAGTCGATTGCTTCAAAAAATTCAGATTGTCAATTGCTGTCACTTCTCTTTTCCATTTTTTTCAGCTAACACGATATTAGAAAGCTTGAATAGATCCGTAAATCCATGTGATGACTTTTACGAATACGCGTGCGGAAAATGGCCAGAGATTAATCCCGCTCCAGAAGGATCGGAGAAGTGGAGTGTGTTCCACATTCTTACATACAAGACCATAAACGACGTAAGAGGTGAGCAACCAATTTACTAGTTGCTATATCCGTAAGATTCAAGATATGAGTTTTTTGTTTAACGTATCTTAATGATATTAAATTTCACAGCGATTGTGGAGGCCGAGGATACGGAGAATGATTCTAACACTATAAAACTTGCAAGAAAATGGTACAAAGCTTGTATGGATGAAGGTGTGTGTTCCTGTAATAAATAAAGTGTCAAAATAAATATTTCACGTCTTATTTTGCAACGTAATAATTTGTTAATATTTACAGATGCGATAGAAAAGGAAGGAATCGATCCGCTGGTTTCTACCTTATCGCGTTTAGGTGGCTGGCCAATGATAACGGATGAATGGGACGAACAAGAGTACAGCTGGCAAAAAGTGGACGATCAATATATGCGCCTAACGGGAAGAAATGCCTTTTATGACGTGCGTATAGAAGATTCAGACGATACAGAAGAAAAAGTAGTAAGGGTACGTACTCTTATTGAAATAATATATTCGCTTTCAGATTTGTTACAAAAAATTCAATTAGACTTTTTTACATTCTTTAGCTTGTTTTACATTTAACAATTAGACTTGTTACGTCTAAATTAATTTCACGTTTTTTTTTATTGCTTGAAGAAATATTTATATATCTAAAGTGATGTAATGAATAATTCAATTCTGTAACTTCTTTCGTATATCTTATCGTACGTGTATCATCTTATTCGCGTTATGTTATTTGTGTTGTAATTTTTCAGTTAATTCGTTGCTATTAATCGTTGCATATTATAGTAAATTTAAATGTAAAAAATTTGCATTGATTTTTTGTGAGACATCCGATTGCTTTAAATCCCTTTATCTATAGATCGACGCGCCGCATTTACCCCCGGGATTAAAGCAAATACGGGAAATAATGAATGAAGACGAGGACGAAGATGACGACGAAGACGAAGATGACGACGAAGACAAAGAGGACGACGAAGATAAAGAAGAAAGCAGAAGTGAAGAGGATCCGAGTGACGAGGAGCAAAGCGACGAGGAAGGCGAAGATGATTTTAAAATCATAATTATTACTAATGACTATGATAATGACGACGATGAAAGCAGTGGCAATAATATTGACGATGATGAAGGCAGTGGCAATAATATTGACGATGATGACGATGGTGGCGATGATGACGACGATGATGATGATACAAGTCAACAGAATAAAAATGTCAGAAAGGAAATAGGCAAGAAAAAAATCACCGGCAAGATCGATCATAAGAAAAGCAAAAAATTAAAACATGTTGGACAGAAAAAAAGCGGCACCCAGATTACTAAGAAGCATAATAATCATAAAACAAAAAGACAGAGAATAAGAAGAGGAGCAGTAGCAGACGTGGACAGTAAACGCGCGCAACGTTCTATTCGTCGCAAAAAGGTACATTTCACCCGGAAAGGCGAAAGGAACCACGTAAGAAAAGTACATAGAAAAAGAATGAGGAAAATTTCGGATAATGGAGAAACGATGGCAACGGCGATACCACAAGTGAACCCACAAATGGAAGAAACGGAGAAGGTGACAATGTTACAAAAGAAAATGGCAACGTACGCTAATTATATTTCAAAAGTAGCTCATGTTATAGCCAAAGACAGAGGTATAAAAATTTCAAAAGAACATCTCAATGAGGATATTCAAGATATGATCAAGTTCCAATTGAGATTGATCGAGGTAAAGATCAGGTCACTGCTCTATTTTGCAGATTGTATATAAGAACCGAGCGAAGAGAGACTTTTAATAATATAATTAATGTTCCAGATTATTCCGTCAGAATCGATCTTCAACTTCTTATTCGAGATGGAAGCTACACTTAAAGAGTTTCAAGAGTGGTATGACGAAGAGAATTCTAAAACAGCTAAAGGCAAGGTAAATGATTTTTAATTAATTAATATAGTTTAATTTCTATAATATATTATTCTTATGATCCTTATGGTTGGACAAATATAAATAATATGACGCAATGAATCACATAATGTAGATTGACTGGGTGAGCAAAATTAAGGCGTTGTTTGACGAAGCGTATGTGACCGTAAATGACGATTTAAATATTATTTCGCCAACTAATTATATTGAAAATCTTCTCTCCTTACTGGACGAGACGTCGGGTCGGACAATCGGTAAGTTTTGAAAAGTGGAAAATGATAATACAAAATGTCGTTGGTAACGTTCATAAGTAATACGTTTTAGTGAATTATATACACTGGAACTTCATAAGCAGAATAATAAGAACTACTACGAGTGAAATGGAAGACTTGTATGATATGTGGAAGGAAGTTAGCACGGGTCAAACTAAACAGTTAGTTATATATATGTATAATTAGATTATTTGTGTAATATAAATAATTATTACTAATTTATAAAATATGGTTCAATTTCATTGAAATACAGACAGAGATGGTACGCTTGCCAAAATGCAGCAGAGGTGAAAGATATTTTAGCTTACGAATTTGTAAAAAAATATTTCTCCGATGATGCAATAAAAATAGTAAGTTTTATTTCATTTGTCTTCTATCCACAATCTGTGCTGAATTTGCTTAAGTCCATTATTCATTGTTATCGTAGGCATCGAACATGATTAGCGATATTAAAATGGAAGTCGAGAACCTGATTCAAAAATCAGATTGGCTGGATGACGATGGTAAGGAATTTGCTTTAGAAAAAGTAAAAAATATGAAAAAATTTATTGGATATCCAAATTGGTACAAAAATACCACGATCATTGAAGAGTATTATAATGGGGTAAATATTCAAAAAATTATTAACATTAGCAGTTATTATATGTGATGACTATCACTTACATCATGTAAAATTATTCCATTAAAGCTCGTTATTGGCTCGTCGTACTATGAGAATACTGTTCGATACAATAGATACACCAAATTAAAGAGCCTACGGAAGTTGTCGACAAATAGTCATGAAATCAATGAAGAGTGAGATAGCAATTTACTATTTAACGTAATTGTTGATTTAAATAATTTATATACACCGCAAATTTTATATTACAGAAAACTATTGAATCCGGTTGAAGTGAATGCCTTTTACGTGCCCTGGAAGAATGTCTTAGGTACGCACAATATATCTTACACAATAGTTCTTGTTTAGTGAAATATATATATATATATAATACATCTATTAATTGTACGTTATATATGCTTTGTAGCAAATTATTAATTTAATCGATCAAATTTTTATTCGCAATTATTAACGTAACAATAAAAATTAATTCTTTCGTTAACAGCTGTTTCCGCGGCGGACTTTCAGAGCCCATGGTTCGCTTACGGTCGACCACTGTAAGTAAAAAATTCTGATTAAAACTTAACACGACATATACATTAATTTAGCAGTGTGTATATATGTATACTAAAAAAAATTTATAATTCATATGATTTTATATCTAAATTTTGTGTTAATATAAATCTTAATAGAATTTTTTTTATATAGAGCTGTTAATTTTGGTACCATGGGATTTATCATAGCTCACGAGATTAATCACGGATTCGATGATACAGGTATGAAGTTCTACACTACCTAATTTACTCTATTTTATTTTTTGCTATAATATTTGCAAATATTGCGATAATATAACGATTTATTATTATTTTTAACGCTCTTTGAAAGTATCTTATAAGAGAGAAATAATTTTTAGGACACATGTACGACAAGGATGGTGACTTCCTGGGATGGTTTTCGTCGATGGCTGACGCGTATGACAAAAAGCAGAATTGCTTTGTAAAGCAGTTTAATAATTATCCTATTGATGAAAAAACAAATGAAACAATAAAGGTATATTGCGTATTTGAATGTTATTGTTATATTACTGAAGATTTATTTGGTCATTTATTTATCGATTATTGATTATTTTATTTTATTGAAAATTTACTGATTATTTTTACTGAAATTATAGAATTATGGTAAGCAGACGACGAGCGACAATATCGCGGATACAATGGGATTACAGGCGATATTTAAGGCCTATCAAAGAAAGGAGAAAGAGAGTGAAGTACTGGATGCCACGTTGCCGGGCATGGAAGATTTTACCAACGATCAACTATTCTTTTTATCCTTTGCTAATGTGAGTATTTTATATACGGGCACTTAAGACTACTATTAAACTATGAAGATAATAGTTGATAATGTTTTTATACTTTAATTATATTAAAACGTTTACAACGTTTATAACGTTTACAGTTATGGTGCGAAGCATACGAGCCAGATCAATTAATACCTTCAGCTAAGAACGATGATCACAGCATCGGACGACTGAGAATTATAGGCTCCGTATCAAATTCGGACGACTTCGCTAAAACTTTTAATTGTCCGGTTGGTAGTCCGATGAATCCCAAAAAGAAGTGCAATGTCTGGAAGTGACTATGAAGAATCTTGAAAAGCCAATTTTAAAGAATTATCCCGCAGAAATTATTTATCCAAATGTATTGATGAATAAACAATAATGCATACTGAAAATGTTTCTTCTAATAATTTTCTAATTCTTCTGAATATTGTATTCGATCTAATTTGAGTGTGATTATTCGATTCATAGAAAATAAAAATTAGTTAACAAGAAATATTCAAAATACAAACTAAAATCCGATAAATATAGTGTTAAAATAAACTTTTAATAATATCTGGTCGTACAACATTTTCATCGTCTAAGATCTAAAGTGTAGTTAGGCGAAATAGAATACATATTTTGAATATTGTATTGATCTTCGAAAATTAATTCTAAACAGACACGAGTCGATCTCATGGCCCGTATACGGACGCGCATATTTGGCGTGAGGCACTACCGTGTCTCTTGAATTAAATCTTTCTATTTTTCATATACATTATTACATTTCCGTTATCATTCTTTGCTCTATTTGCTTGGTTTACGATACATCTCTTCTAATTGCGATAATAAACGTGACAAAAAAATCTGGCGTATTGTAGCTAACAATCTCATTCGTGCAATGCGCAACACCGCAAAACGCAATTCTGCAAATAATTTGTCCTCTTTGCATTTCATTCAAATTGCACGTACACATATAGATACATGTATAGATATGATAATCATGGAACGGCGGATGTCCTGAAAACGATAATTTGTGGTAAGTACTGCAGTGATTAATTAGAAATTCTGTTGGTCATGATAAGAATTATACTTCCAATTAAATTTATCCATAGATAAGTGATAAATAACTGCATTCCTGATAATTAAATTATTTCCAAACTTTTGAAAAAAGGGGCATTATTCTTAGAAGTCTACTATTTAGATGTTGCAGATATTTATTTTCCGAGCTAAGAAAAGTTGACGTGAGCAAAAACCCTGAAAAAATTAATATTTTTCGAGTTTAAATTACAGCGTTATTGATATCGGTTATCGCTGGTGTCGTTTCATTAATATAAATCAGAAGGATGAAAGATGCACATCTATGGCCTTCGGTTCTATCAATTCGATATGATGGCACGTTGCACGAGATTCTTCCGCAAATAGTAATATATAAAAGAGTCAACTAAGCAACACGTAATTTCACATTGTGGCGAAAAATATTCGAGCACATTTCCCGTACAGCACAACTAAAATTTCTATCAGCCTCGGATCATCTTACAACAATGAGGCGATTCATTCTTCTGTAAGTAACTTGAAATAGTCATTTTCTTTCTAACACGGTCAACCAGAAACGAATTAGCGATCTTTAAATTTTGTCTTTAAAAAAATAATCTGTCTTGATTGATTATAACTTAGGAAAAATAAACGATGCTTCAAATCAAATGACTTTTTCTCTTGTTTTGAACTCTAAATTCACTCTCTGATATCCATTAAAAATTATTCTTTATATTCATCACTTTTTATTATTTTTATATATTACATTATGTATAATTTCTTATGCAGTACGTTATCTTATTTCATTTTTAATATTTTTACACTTTGCAGCGCCTTCATTGGCGTACTTTTAATTAAGAATGTCACACCGAAAAATCAGAGATATCCTTCTCATCTTGCATGGTTGTTTGGCTCAAACAAGAACTTAAATGAAAATGAGGAAGAAAGTAAGGAAGAAAGTAAGGAAGAAGATAAGTCGACTGTATGCCAATCTCAGGAGTGCAAAAAAATCGGTATTTATTAAAAGACAACATGTGTAACTAGAATTATAATTCAAAAGCTATTCTAAAAATTCAAATCTTTATATCAATCGTTATTTTTCTTCTTGTTCTCATTTTCTTCCAGCTCAGATAATATCAGAGAGCATGGATAAATCTATGGATCCGTGCGATGATTTCTACGAGTACGCGTGTGGAAAATGGCCGGAGCATAATCCTGCTCCAAAAGGGATGAGTTCCTGGAGTATGTTTGCAAGTGCACAAATGAATGTCATGAAGCAAATAAAAGGTGAATATTAAATCCCAAACTTTGTATTCGAAATATATTGTATGTGTACAATGATATTAAATATTAAATGATATTTTACAGAAATTTTCGACGAGGGTCCAAAAGACGATGATATGTTGGCGGTAAAGCTTGCGAAAAAGTGGTACACGATCTGCATGGATACAGGTAAGCGCGGATGGCACTCGAATGATTGAAGCACCGTTCAAAAATTCGATTATATATTGTTTTTACATATAATTACATTCCACGATATGATTCATGAAACACTTTCAGATGCAATGGACAGGCAAGGACTCGAACCGCTTGTCCTTACTCTGGCACGGATAGGAGGCTGGCCGATAATAATGGAACCGGACGAATGGAACGAGCAAGAATACAGCTGGCAAAAAGTTGATGATCAATATGTGCGCTTGATTGGAAGAAATGCTTTCCACGACGTGCGGGTGGACGAATTATATAACGATTCGAACGAAACCGAGAAAATAATACATGTACATATCGCAACATAAATTTTTAATTAAGATTCAAAAGATCATCATTATATTAGCATTAACATTATGCTCTCAAATCTCTAAATCATGTTTGGATATAAATGGTATCTATATAATCTACATTACATAATATTAGTTACATTATGTACCTCGTAGCATCATTAAGCATCTTGTTTCCATGTTTGATCTTTCCATTACACGTAGACGTAAATATAAATTTATATTTTAATAAATATTTGCATTGATTTCTCATTAATTTTTTAAAATGTACATTTTTGCTAGATCTCAATTCCCCATTTACCTCCGCGTTCATACAGACTGTTGAGTACAATTGTAGTAGACGAGAGCGACGAGGATACCAGCGACGAGGAGAAGCAAAGCGACGAGCAAAACGGTAGTCAAGAACCTGGAAGTGAAGATGAAGATGATGACAAAAGCAAGAATAATGACAATAATGACGATGAAGGAGATAATAATGATGATGATGAAGATGATGATAACGATGACGATGAAGATGATGATAACAATGACGATGAAGATGATGATAACAATGACGATGAAGATGATAACAATAATAAAAGTAGTGATAAAGATGAAGACGATAAAGATGACGACAATAATGATAAAGATGACGATAATGATGATACAAACGAACAGGATGATGATGAAAACGCGAAAAAGAAAATCATTGTAACAAAAACCGGCAAATTGAAGAAAAATAAAAAATTAGAACATAGTAGAAAGATTAAGAGCAACACCAATTCCAAGAAGCATAAGAACCATAAGATGAAGAAAGAAAGGACGAAAAGACGAGCAATACCGATAAATATTAGCGATAAATTACGCGCGCGGAAGGATGATAAAAATCGTATGAAACAAGCACGAAGAAAAAAATTAGAGAAAACTTTGGCGGCGACAACACCGCGGATTAGCACCGAAGAAACGACTGACGAAATTGATGAAATAAAAAAATACACTGATTATATCACCAAAGTAGCTTGCGCCATAGCTAAAGCAAGAGACGTCAAAGTTTCGGAGGAACACATGAATAGAGATATCAAAGACATGATCGCATTTCAATTAAAACTAGTTGATGTTAGTATTACACTACTTTGTCGGGCAATAAAACAACAAGAATGTTTATAGACTGAATAATAATATATTTCAGATTTCTGCGGACTTTAGCGATGAGGAGAAAATGACGCTCGACGACATGCAGGAATGGTACGATGAAAAAAATCCTAAAACTTCCAACAGCGCAGTAAGTCATTTTCTAATTAATTCATTTAATTTGTAACTGCCTTTGATAAATGAACACGATTAACGCAACGCAGATTGACTGGATGTACAAAATTGGGGAGTTATTTGACGAGGCCCACGTGCCCATAGACAGCGATTTAAATGTGGAAATTGGTCCACCAGAATATCTCGAGGATCTTATCTCTTTGCTGGACGAAACGCCGAGTCGAACGATCGGTAATTTTTGAAAAAAAAAAAAAAAATGCTGCGATAATAATTAAGAAAATGTTGATAAAAGCGCTTACACGAGATATGTTTCAGTAAACTATATACATTGGAACTTTTTGAGCAGAATAATAACAACTACTACAAGTGAAATGAGAAAATTATACGATGCATGGGAAGGTAATGATGATGATGATGATGACGATGATTTCCTTCCAAAAAGGTGCGCTTTATATTGATAGTATTTCCTTATAATTGTGAGCGTAATCGTTTGTGCTCTTTAATTCATAGAAAATCATAATTATTTTTTATTTCATATTATTATTTTTAATACGGTGCAGTCAGTTTAAACACTCCTAACGCGTGAATTAAAATCGAATCAGTTTTAAATTATACCGATATCAAACTCATAATGAATTGTCACACAGAGCGCTCAAATGCACACGGAAAGTAGATATGAGCAATATGCTAGCGTACGAGTATGTAAGAAACCATTTCTCTGATAATATCACGACAATCGTAAGTACTTTGTGTCGATTATTAAAAATCCTATTTTGTTTATTGTTTATAGAAGCCGTGATCTATCTTATAAATTTGCTCAGTTGGTTAACTTATTTCTGTTGCAGGCTTCGGATATGATGGACGATATACAAAAGGAAGTCGAATATCAGATTAAAGAGTCAGATTGGATGGATGAGGAAACTAAGGATTTTGTTTTAGCAAAATTAGTGGATATGGGAAAATTTATCGGATATCCAGACTGGTATAGAAATGACACTATCGTTAAACGATATTTTCAAGGAGTAAGTTTCTCAAAATTTATTAATTATCACTGACTATTCGATTTAAACTGTTTTATTTTATTAAAGCTTATTCTTGGCAATTCGTTTTACGAAAACACAATGAGCTATCAAAGATACAGCAAATGGAAAGGACTACGAAAGTTGCTGAAAGAAGATGAAGAAGATGATATGTAATATAACGCATTAGTTCCAGCATAAATATAACTTTATTTTTTAATTTTACAAAGTAAGTTTACATAACATATTCCGTGTTACAGGATGACGATGAGTCCTTTAATGGTAAATGCCTTTTTCTCACCGTGGGATAATTCCGTAGGTCCGTATCATCAGAGCATATATATATTTTTTTAATTAAACACGATTTTGCAATTATTTACATTGTCACTGACATTAATCTCTTATTCGATTATAGCTTTCTCTGCAGCGGATTTCCAGAGTCCATTATTCGCTTTCGATCGACCACAGTAAGTGAATAATTTTTATTAAAAATATCAACGTAACTTGTATAGCGATAAAAGTCCAAATAAATTTAACTTATTATTATATTATCTTTAGAAATTTTATGTATACTGCTTAATAAAATTTTTTCTAAATACTTTTTCTTTCAGAGCTATTAATTATGGTATTGTTGGGACAATCATGGGCCACGAAGTTAATCACGGATTCGATGATTCTGGTAATGTTATGACATAATATTAAACCATTTCATTTACTAAATTATAATATTTAATTGTTACAATAATATAGTATCTAGCATTTTACTTTAAAATTTGAAATGTTTTAAAAATAACTAAAAAGAAAAAAATGACAAATAAATCAAAAGAATAATTTTTAGGCCATTTGTATGATAATCACGGAGAGATTGTCGAATGGTTATCCGCAATGGCCGATGCATATGGCAAAAAGGCAGAGTGTTTTGTAGAACAGTTTAATAATTATCCCATTGACAAGGAATCGAATTATAAAATAAAGGTATACATTATCTAATTCTGCATTTGATTAATTTATCTTATCGTTATTTTTTTCTGTCGGCCATTAAATATTTGATTTAACTTATTACAAAAATTGCAGGACTATGGCAATCAAACGGCGGGAGAGAATATTGCGGATACCATGGGATTAGAGGCAGCGTTTAGAGCATACCAAAGGAGAGAAAGACAATGCGGAAAGCCGAATACCGTATTGCCAGACCTGGAGGATGTAACTAACGATCAACTTTATTTCCTATCCTTTGCCAATGTAGGTATTACAGATAAATAGTGAATTTACAGTAATAATTACGAAATTAATAATTAAAGTAAATATTTGTATGCTTTAATGTAAGAAATTGTGATAACGTTTAACAGCTATGGTGCGAAATGGATACAGACATTATAAAGAGTGCCAAGCATGACGTTCATAGCCCCGGACGATTGAGAGTAATAGGAAGTGTTTCAAATTCACAAGACTTCGCCAAAGCTTTCAATTGCCCAGTTGGCAGTGCGATGAATCCCAAAAGAAAATGTAATATCTGGAAGTGACTGCTTTCACGAATATTGTAAATTAAGCTTACCAATGCTTTATAAAAATGTAAAACAATTGACAAAAGTTTTGTATCTATATATATCGATGAATAAAAAAAAAGCATATTACTTAAGTAACGAAATTATTTCGCGGAACAATGGATTACAAACGATATTTAAGGTTTATCAAAGTAAGGAGAAAGAAAAACAGTCAAGCCAAGTAAATTAATATCTTTCGCCAAGGACGATGAACACAGCATTGAGCGACTGACAATTATAGGCTCCGCATCAAATTCGTACGATTTCGCTAAAACTTTTGCCCGATTGGTAATCCGAGATGAATCCCATAAAAAAATGCAATATCTGAAAGTGATGAATCCTACCCTGAAGAATCTTGCAAAGCATATTTCATAAAAATATCCCGCAGAAGTTATTTATCCAAATGTATCGATAAATAATCGATAACTAACGAACATATGTCTGAAAACGTTTTTTCTGACGATTTTTTTATTTCGGAATATTTGATCTAATTTGCATGTGATTATTCGATCCGCTAAAGATAAAAATGAATTAACACCTAAAAAATGTTAAAAATACTAGCCGAAATTCAATAAATATAATGTTAGACTAAACTTTAGTAACTTTTAGTAACATCTGATCGAATTACATTTCATCGTTTAAGATCTAAAATGTGATCAGGCGGAACGGAATACATATTTTGAATACCTAATATCGATTTTCGAAAATTAATTCTACTTTTTCTGATTTTCCTGTATGTACATGATCACATTTTCGTTATCATCCTTTGTTCAATTTCATCTCTGATTCTGATTGCGATAATAAACGTGAGAAGAATATCTGAAGTATTGTAATAATCTTATACGTATAATGCGCAACACGCATTTCCGCAAATAATTTGTTCTCTTTGCATTTCGTTTAAATTGCATTTATACATATAGATATGATAAACATGAAACGGCGGATGTCCTAAAAACGATAATTTGCGTAAGTACCACTGATTGAATAGATACACAAAGTTCCGTTGGCCACGATAAAAATTATACTTCCAATTAAATTCATGCAAGTGATAACTGCATAACTGATAAATCATGCATTATTTCCGATTTTTTTAAAAAAGGAACATTGTTCTTAGAAATCTATTATTTAGATGTTGCACAGTTGTTTACTTTTTGAGCTAAGAAAAGTTTATGCGAGCAAAAAAACCTTGTAAAAATTAATATTTTTCGTGTTTTTAAAATACAGCATTGATTATCGCTAGTGTCGTTTCATTAATATAAAATCAAAAGAACAAAGGATACATCTATGACCTTCGGTCTATCAATTCAATGTGGTAGCGCGTTGCAAGATCCTTCCGCTAATAGTAATGTATGAAACAGTCAACTAAGCAACAACTAATTTCACATTGTGGCGAAAAAACATTCAAATACATTTTTCCCGTATAGCACAACTAAAATTTATATTAGTCTCGGATCATCTTGTGACAATGAGGCGGTTCATTCTTCTGTAAGTAACTTGTAATAGTCATTTCCTTTAAACACGATATCAATCATAAGCGAATTAATTAACGATCTTTAAAATTTGTCTTTAGAAAATTAATCTGTCTCTCTTGATTGATTATAATTTAGGAAAATACAGAAAAAATAGAGTCTGCATAATCACAAGATATTTTTTTTGTTTCAAATTCTAGATTCACTCTCTGATATCCATTAATAATTATTCTTTATATATGCATTATATTCATCATATTTTATTTAATATTTTTATATATTGCATTATTTATCATTTTTTATATGTACAGTATATTATACTTATTTTAAACTACACTTTGCAGCGCCTTCATTAGCGTGCTTTTAATAAAGAATGTCACACCAAAAAATCAGAGATATCCGTCACATCTAGAATGGTTGTTTGGTTTAAACAAGAACCTAAATGAAAATAAGGAAGAAAACAAGGAAGAAAATAAGCCGACTGTATGCCAATCTCAGGAGTGCAAAAAAATTGGTATTTATTAAAAGACAACAGCTATATAGCTGGAATTATAATTCAGCTAGTCTGAAAATTCAAATCTTTATTTATCGTTATCTTTCTTCTTGTTCTTATTTTCCTCCAGCTCAGATAGTATCGGAGAGCATGGACAAATCTGTGGATCCGTGCGACGATTTCTACGAGTACGCGTGTGGAAAATGGCCGGAGCATAATCCTATTCCAAAAGGAATGAATTCTTGGAGTACGCTCGCAAGTGCACAAAGGAATGTCACGAAACAAATTAAAAGTAAATGCTAAATCAGCCCAAACTTTGTATTCGAAACTTAATTGTATATAATGACATTAAATATTAAATGTTTATATTTTGCAGAAATTTTCGACGAAGGTCCAAAGGACGACGACATTTTGGCGGTAAAGCTCGCGAAAAAGTGGTACGCGGTCTGCATGGATACAAGTAAGCGCAAATAGCACTCGAGTGATTGAAATAACGTTAAAAATATATGTATAGTGTTAAAAAAAACTATTCAGCACTTATATGGTAGATAATACACATTATACTGTGTAAAGAAACCTTAGTGAACATAGGTGGAAAGCTCAACTAAGATATATAATTTTTGTATATTAGCAATCATAAATGATTTATTGGTTTCTATACGTTGCATGCGATATTTACTTCAATGCAATGTTTATAAATCGCGTTCTGTATTCCTCAATTTCCTTACATACTTCATAACAGAAGATCATTTCATCAACAATCAGTTAATTGTCATCAACCGGTGATTGCGGATCTACATATTATTTAGTGATTACACAATTATAAGATATCGTCATGCTAAAAAAAGTCGTCGTATTACTCTAATCAAGAAATGGCAGATATGCATTTTTTATGTGATCGTGCTAATGGAAATGCTTTTGTTGCGCGATGTATTTACGCTGAAAAATTTCTTAATCGAAGAGTTTCCTCTCATATACTTTTTCAAAATATCTTTGTGAATCAGATTCATTTAGAACTCGCTATTGAGTGCAAGCACTCGTATGTATAGAAATAAAAGGACACGTGAAACATTTTCTGTAAATACAGCCAGTAAGTCATTTATAATAAACATACAAAAAATGTTTAAATCTCAAAAACAGTTGAACTTTTAACCTATGTTCACTAAGGTTTTTTACTCAATATGTACTTCTATCATATAAATGCTGAATAGTTTTTTTTTAATACTCTATATTGTATTTTCATACATAACTACTTTTCACGATATGATTCACGAAACACTTCCAGATGCAATGGACAAACAAGGACTTGAGCCACTTGTCTTTACTCTAGCGCGAATAGGAGGCTGGCCGATGATAATGGAGCCAGATGAATGGAACGAGCAGGAATACAGCTGGCAAAAAGTAGATGATCAATATGTGCGCTTGATAGGAAGAAATGCTTTCCACGACGTGTGGGTGAAGGAATATGGTTCGAACGAATCTCGGAAAGTAGTATATGTACTTATCACGACATATACTTTCAATTAAAATTATCATTAAACCTGCATTAACCCTACAATCTCAAATCTCTAAATCTCCAAAAGCATTGTTTGTGATATAATTGGCATCTCTTTAATTTCTATAATTATTATATTATGTATCTCGTAACATCATATATTAAGCATCTTGTTTCTGAATTGCCTTTTCCATTAAACGTAGGTATAAATTTATATTTAAAAAAATATTCACATTGATTTTTCACTAATTTTTAAAAATGTATATTTTTGTTGGTAGATCTCAACACCCCATTTACCTCCGGGTTCAAATAACCTGCGGGATAAACTCTATACTGGCGAAGAAGATGAAAGTGACGAGGATACCAGTGACGAGGAGAAGCAAAGCGACGAGCAAAATGATAGTCAAGAAACTGGGAGCGAAGACACAGATGATAACAAAAGCGAGAATAATAGCAATAATGACGATGAAAATGACAACAACGATGATAAAGATGATAATAACGATTACAATGATGATGATGATAAAAACACGAAGAAAATCAGTGTAAAAAAAACCGGTAAATTAGCAAAAAATAAACAATTAGGGTATAGTAGAAAAATTAAGAATAGTGCCTTTTCCAAGAAGTATAAGAACCATAAGACGAAAAAAGAAAGGGTAAAAAGACAGGCAATACCGACAAATGTCCGCGAGAAATTACGTGCGCGAACGAACGATAGGAATCATATGAAGCAAGCACGTAAGAAAAAATCAGAGAAGATTTTGGAGGTGACAACATCGCGGTGCACCGAAGAACCGACTGTCGAAATTGATGAAATAAAAAAATACACTGATTATATCTCCAAAGTAGTTCGCGCTATAGCTAAAGCAAGAGGCGCCAAAGTTTCGGCGGAACACATGAATAAAGATATCAAAGACATGATCAAATTTCAATTAAAACTAATTAAGGTGAGTGTTACACTACTTTTGTCAGGCAATAAAACAACAAGAATGTTTGTAGACTGAATAATAATAATATATATTTCAGATTTCTACGAAAAAGAGCAAAGAAGAAAAAGAGGAAAAAAAGGAAATAACGCTCAATGACATGCAGGAGTGGTACGATGAAAAGAATCCTGAAACTTTCAACAGCGCAGTAAGTCATTTTTTAATTAATTAATTTAATTTGTAACTGCCTTTGATTAAATGAGCACGATTAACGCAACGCAGATTGACTGGATGTACAAAATTGGAGAGTTATTTGACGAGGCCCACGTGTCCGTGGACAGCGATTTAAATGTGGAAATTGGTTCACCAGAATATCTCGAGGGTCTTATCTCTTTGCTGGACGAAACGCCGAGTCGAACGATCGGTAATTTAAAAAAAAAAAAAAAA